GGGGGGGGGGGGGGCAGGATAAACTAGGAGTGTGGGATTAGCAGATACAAACTGCTATACATAAAATAGATAAACAATGAGGACCTACTGTCTAGCACAGGGAACTCTACTCAGTATCTTGTGATAACCTATAAGTCAGCTCCTCAGACACACCAGCCACATTTCAGATACTTCCATGTGTGAATACAGTGGCCACCAGCACAGGATCGTGCCAGACCCTCTAGACATCTGTCTGGGATTTGAATCTTATTCTAAGAGGATTGAGAGGCCACTGAGGCCTGAAACGAGGGGGACAAGACCCTCCAGCCCTGCCTCCTGCCACCTGTCAGCTCATCAACCCTGTTTATCCCTGCCGAGGAATTCCCCGACAATGAATGAATTCAGTGCCCTCTCCTGGGATGCTTTGTAGCAGGTGCTGTACCTGTGTTACAGTCCCCGTCACCTTCTTAGCCTGAGGCAGGGGTTGTGTGCTGCTCGTTTCTCCTTCCCCACCGTCCACTCCGCTGGTACACACTGGGTGCTCAGAAAATGCTTACTGGGTCCAGCCGAGTCCACCCCCTTGCTCCAGAGCCATGTCTCTGGGATAATGGGCGCTGAGTGCAGCCTGGTGGAGCCCTTGCCTTTCTAAACACCGATTTCTCTGAGACCTTTGTCTCACCACCTGCTGTCAGGGATACCCCGGGGCTGCACCCGCGGCCCCAGCCGATCCCCCCACGCCTCCAGGGAGCACAAGGGGCCCACCTGCCCTCGCATTTCCTGAGGGAGACCCGCATCAGGAAGTCAGAATTCCCTCCCCGCCTGCCCTGGCCTGGTCATCCTGGGAGAAACCAATCTGGGAAGTCATCTTCCCAAGGATCTGAATGAATGGACTTTGTGCTGACCCCTCGCAGAATCCTGGACCCTCGCTGCCCTCAGGGGAACAGGGTAGGAATGGAGAGACCCTGGACCCGACTCCTGGTGTTAACTCACGCCACCCTAGGTGTGGGTGCCGGCAGCCCTGTCGTCCAGGGTCATTTTCCCCGGAGGGTCCTGAGAGGCCGCAGAGAGGCTCCCGGCCCCCCTGGGGGTACGGAGAACGGAGGGGTGGGAACCGCAGGGGCCACGCCCCAAGCCCTTCGCAAGGACCTTGATTGGACGATGAGAGCACGTGACCGGGCCCCCCACGCCCGAGGCTGGGACAAGAGGGGCGCCTGTGCCCGTTCATCCGCCCCTGCTGTGCTCAGCCCCGATGAGGGGGCAGGGCCGGCAGTGGAGGGAGAACAAGCAGAGGACTGGGTGCCGAGGCCTGGAGAGCAGGGGGAGCCTGGGTGAGTCCTAGGCGGCTGGGCCGGGGGGCCAAGGGGCAAGGCCAGGATGTACGCTCCGTCTCCCAAAGCTCAGAACCTTTCAGAGCTGCAGTTCTGGTCTCCCTGGGTGCGGTGGGTGGGGCGGCGGCCCGGGAGGCTGGGAAGGTGATGAATAACCCAGCTGTGGTCCAGCCCGGCCCAACTGGCTGCTGTCAGCACTAGATCTGCTTGGGCCCCGCGCCTCTGCCAACCCAAAATTCCAGTTCTGTGCTCCCCACGCCGGCAGACCCAGCACCCGCCTTTCCAGCTGCCCTGTCCCCTGGCCAGCAGTGATGTTTTGCAAACCTGCGATAGGACTTAGGCTCGGGCGGAACCCAGCCTCAGGATTGGGGGGCAGGGGCAGGGAGGCACATGGCTATGCAGGACCGGAAGCCGCTGGAGCGCAGACTCCAGGGCCTTCCCAGGAGGCAGCTGGGAAACAAGAACAGGGGCTTTGGGGGCCACTGCTAGCTGTGTGACCTTGAACAAGCCACTTGACCTCTCTGTGCCTCAGTTTCCTCCTTTGTAACATGAGGTTAGTCACACCTACCTCACAGGCTTCTTGTGACCATAAATATGTATAAAATGTTTATCACGTCTAGCCTGGTGCCTGGTATACTGCAGGAGCTTAATGATAATCAGAGCATCCTTCCCTCCCCCAGCAGCACCTCCTGTCTACCTGCGCTCCCCTCCAGACCCTCCCTCCCCTGGTTCTGCTCCCCCCTCCACCCACCCCGCCCCGCCTCTCCTGTCCTCTAGCAGCTGTGACTCCGACCTTGGGGACCTCAGAACATCAGAGGTCGAAGGGGTCTCAGAGACCATCTGGTCAACCCCTTGCTTCGTCGGAAGAGGCCCGTGAGAGCAGAGGGGCCTGGCGATCCTGCCTCACAAAGGCCTCCCACACCCCGGGGGCCGGGTCGCTGCTCTCTTTGGGGGACAGTGGGGCTGGGTGACAAGCCTGAGGGGAGTCTGAGAGCGGGTTCCTGTGCTGGGAGAATCGTGGCATTTGTGAGGTGGAGCCGCAGCCCCAGAACTGCTGTGGGAGGGTGCAGGGCTGGCAGGCCTGGCATGTGAGCACCACCCCCCCCCACCACCCCCGGTGGGCCCTGCACTGCCTTGGGTCTCACAGTCACCAACCCCAGCCGCAGCCCTCACCGCCTCCTGATAATTGGATGCGTCATCCGCTGGCGCCCGCAGATAGGCAGCCACACCCAGGGCAGCTGGCACCCTGGCAGTGTTTCCCTTCTGAGCTGCTGGGCTGCAGCCTGCCAGGCCATGGATGGGCGCCGGTGGGAGCCAAGATGCTCGGGCCTAGGGCTCTGCTGAGGTCCTGCCGGGAGGCAGAGCCCGGTCTGCGTCGCCCCTCGCCTCGGCCCGGACTGCCCGTCTGGGTACCTTCTTATCAGGAGCCCCAGTAACAAGCAGGCCGGCGCCTCGGCGTCTGTGCTCAGCGGGGCCCTGGGCTACAGGCTGCTCCCAAAGGGTCTGTCATCTCCCACTGACCCGGCCTGAGCTGGGAGCCGCGGGGGGTCACTGTGGCCCGTCTGCCTGGCGGGGCTGCTGCCCACCCTCCGCACGCAGCCCTGTCACGGCCACGCCCCCCAGCCCAGCTCACACGCTGCCCCCTCCCCACAGGTGTCCTGAGCTGGACGTACCGCTGCCCCCGCACCTCGTGCCACTCAGCACATCTTGCATCCCCCAGCTCACTGTAAGGTCCCCGCGTCACCGGTAGGCCTGGGTATCACAATGGCTCTGCAAGCGTTCGCCCATCCAGCGACATTCCATGTGTTCTCTTACGTCGTCCTGCGGCCAGAGGCCTCTTTGGGCACTGTGTTGCCCCCCCCCCTCCTTCCAGGAGGTACTGTCATCCCAGAGGCCCTGCTGGGGTTGGAGCCAGACCTGGGCCCGTTGTGACAAGGAGCTGGGGAGGAACTGGGGGCTCCCCAGACACCTTGACTCTCAAGCCATGTCCAGCCTTAGCTCTGCACTGGCCACCACGGCTGCAGAGGAAGCAGGGGGAGGGCCAGGCGGCCGGGCTCGTCTCACTCCTTCCCAAAGGCGCCTCTCCGCACACTTCGCATCTGCCGGTGTTGGCCCCCTCCTGCCCCAAGGAGACCCTGGGCGGCCTGGCTTCTGTCACGGAGGATTCTGTCCCCCAGCCCAGTGTCTTGGAAACTGGTGACATCTGCACTCTGCTTAAGCCAGATAAAACCATTCCAACTGCCCTCAGCTCAGAACCTGGGCTGGGGAGGGTGGGCAAAGTGACATAGAGACAAAACCTGAGGCCTTTTAGGACCCAGGGAACGCTGGGCACCGCAGAACAGTGGAAGGCAAACGTGTGGTCCCGGATGAAGAGCTTTGCTGCTAGGCCTGCAAAGGGAAATCACAGGTGGCCCTCAGGAGTGAGTACTTTTTGGATCACTGGCTGGCTTGGACAGTTTTTGCCTCTGCTCTTGGCTTTTTGCACATGGATTCATGACCCTGTTTCATATTTACCTAGTCCTTTAGTCTACAAAATGGTTTCCTGACCCGATCTCTTGGGATCTGCCCATCAGTTTTCCGAGCGAAGTGTCCGCCCCCATTAACGCCCCCATTGTGAGGTTGGGGCCCAGAGCTGCTGCAGGACTCAGTGGCTGAGCTGAGTCTCAGAGGTCCTTCCTGCAACGCAGAGCCGAGGGCTTTCCCTCCACGCCCACCCGCCACACAGCACGGGACAGTCTGGGGTGGACAGAGCTGCCGAAGCACACAGTCGTCGGGGGACACTGTGGCATCCCCCAAAAGAGATGTGTCCATGAGCTGACCGCAGAACCCACGAAGGGGACCTTATATGAGCAAAGAGTCCTTGCAGATGTAATTAAGGTAAGGACCCTGAGATGAGGTCACGCTGCGTTTTGGGTGGGCCCTGGAGCCCATGACGAGTGTCCTTCTAGGAAAAGGCAGAGGGAGATGGAACCAGAGGAGAAGGCAGAGGGTGGGGGGGTGCAGCCACAGCCCAGGACGCCAGGACCCCCAGAGGCTGGAGCACGGATCAGATTCCTCCGCAGAGCCTCCAGGAGGAACCAACCCTGCCCAGACCTTGATTGTGGAGTTTTGACCTCCAGACTGTGAGAGAAGGCATTGCTGGTGTGAAGACATCAAGTTTGTGGTGATGTGTGCGTCACCCTGGGAAGCACAGACACTAACTCCGAAACGCTCTCAGGCACCTGGCCTGAGCTGTCGGCCTCCCAGCAAGCCCATGGGGCACCTGGCTGGCGGTGGGGGGGGGCGGGGCGGGTGAGATCCAGGGCTGGCCCCTGGGGCTGGGGAGGGGCTCCGGGATGACACAGCCCCTCGGCAATGGCAGCACGCAGGGGCCAGCAGCTCCCGCCCAGCACTGGATGGCCAACCTCTCACCCCTTGCCCTTTGCCACCGACTTTTTGTTTGGTTTCACTCGTACCCAGAAAAGAATGTGCTCCAAGGGCTCCGGGGGGGGGGGGAAAAATAGGCAGGGGGGC